CCATGGGGTGGCCACAAGGAACAGCAGCAGGTATGGAGTGGAGCAGCCAGAGCTGTGTGCGCTGCAGAGGATGGAGCCTGAGAAGCCACACAAGCCCTTTGGAGGAGCCCACAAGACCACGAGTGAATCCCATAGTTATTTATACTTCGGGATTTTGGTTTTGCTTTGTTCTGATTGTGACTCTTCCCTACTTCTTCCCTCATGAAGAAAATATTTAACTTAATTTTGATTTTTTTAAATATTTATTTATTATGTATACAATATTCTGTCTGCAGGCCAGAAGAGGGCACCAGACCTCATTACAGATGGTTGTGAGCCACCATGTGGTTGCTGGGAATTGAACTCCAGACCTTTGGAAGAGCAGGCAATGCTCTTAACCACTGAGCCATCTCTCCAGCCCCTTAATTTTGATTTTTTTTAAATATTTATTTATTTATTATGTATACAATATTCTTTCTACCTGTATGCCTGCAGGCCAGAAGAGGGCACCAGACCTCATTCCAGATAAGGTTGTGAGCCACCATGTGGTTGCTGGGAATTGAACTCAGGACCTTTGGAAGAGCAGGCAATGCTCTTAACCGCTGAGCCATCTCTCCAGCCCCTTAATTTTGATTTTTATAGAAGCCTATAGTTGAGAAATTTTGAACTTTTAAAAGAGATATTGGATTTCTAAAGAGACTGGATATTTTAAAGGGATTGAACTTTTGTTTCTTGTTTTGTTTTTATCAAGACAGGATTTCTCTGTGTAGCCAGTCACTGTCCTGGAACTTGCTCTGTAGACCAGACTGGCCTCAAACTCACTGATCCACCTGCCTCTGCCTCCCCACTGCTGGGATGAAAGGCGCGCTCTTCTGCAGCAGCTTCTACTGCAACCACTACCTGGCTCAGCAAGCACTCTGAGCAAGCAAACTACTGAGCCATCTCTCCAGCCCCACTGCCCCTTTTGTGCCTTCAGTGCTGGAGATCAAATTTGGGACCTTGGGAAGGTTTACCCCAAAGTGTGCCATGTAGAGATTTGCCTTTCAGGAAGATCATTAGAGCTGTATAGCAAAGGAGAAGGGGCAGAGATTAAGGAAATTCATTATGTGGTTGTTTTATTAAGTAAAATGTCCTGATGACAGTCTGAGTAACTGCTAATAGCCTGAATCCCAGTACGTCATTTAAACCCTGCAACTTGATGAGGTAAATATGTTTTTTGTTGTTTTTTTTTTGTTTTTTTTTTTTTAGTTTTTCGAGACAGGGTTTCTCCGTAGCTTTGGAGCCTGTCCTGGTACTAGCTCTTGTAGACCAGGCTGGTCTCGAACTCACAGAGATCCGCCTGCCTCTGCCTCCCGAGTGCTGGGATTAAAGGCATGCGCCACCACCGCCCGGCGATGAGGTAAATATGTTAGACATAACTTTCCATTTATGGTTGAGAAACTCAAAGAAAAGGGAAAGTTAAAATTGCCCAAGTCATACGGTTATCAGTGGCAGTAGATAAAGGGTCGATAGCCAGGCATGGTGGTGTATGACTTTAATCCCAGTACTCGGGCAACAGAGGCAGGCAGATCTCTGTGAGTTTGAGACCAGTCTGGTCTACAAAGGAGGTTTCAGGACATTTAGGAGATGACACGAACTCAACAGCTAATTATGCAACTGACATTTGTCATTGATTGGGGAGGAGGAACTTCAAGGAGCAGGTGGCAAGGATAATATGCAAGTTTCCAGCTGGGAAGTTTTGGGAAGAGCAGGAGAAGCTGTGGGATGGGTGGGAGAAGCGTCTAGTGGGGCGTGAGTTTGATTTCAAGGTATCAGAACCCCCATCAGGAGCTGCAGAGAGGCAGCTGCAGGGCTGTGGTGACGCTCAAAGCAAGAGTTGTGCCGCCATCAACCCCAACTTCAACGGAATGGAAAACGGAGCAAACCTACCTTTGGAGATGTTGACAGTGACCCCAACCTTGAAAACAATCGAGATACAATGAGACTGCCCGTATTTTCTTCCACTGATTTTACCCTATCTCCTCCCCTCCCTCCCCGAGTCTGGCACTCTGTGTTGCAATCCTGTCTTCTTCTCAGGAGTCACCAGGCCTGCTAAACGGTCTACCTTATCTCAAAGCCTCAGAGATCCACCTGCCACCTGCCTGTTCCTGCCTCCCAAGTGCTGGCATTAAAGGTGTGTACTGTCCATCTAGTCTAGATTTTAGGATTTAATTATCATTTAAAATTGTGTTCATGTGTGTATCTGTGTCCGCGTGTGTAGGTATTTACTCTAGGAGATCCCCAGAGAGTTTGAACAAAAGCTTCCTAAGGGCCAGTTTTCCCCAGGGTGTGGGAGTGCCAGCTAGCAACATCTGAGACACCAGGGAACCAGTTAGCAAATCATCATTTCCGTGTCCTCCCTGGCGTCCTAACAGCCTGGAGACTGCTCTGTGCTCTCTTTGTAACCCTAAGCTGCTAGAAGACAGTTCATACTGGAACCAGTCTGCTTTGCTGGAAATGCTAGAGAAATAGCAACATCCCAAATATGCTATATGGTAGGCGCCTAGTTACTCTTCCGGTGAATTAATTTCCTCTAACTTCCTTTCCAGCCACCTTTCCTTTCCATGCTGAGCTGCTAGAAGATTCCGCTTGCTCAAGAACTGAGGACTGAAGTCAGGGCCTCCCCTACTCCACTACTGATAACATTTCCAGCAACCCCAACACCTTTTCACATTTAAGTTGTGTTTATGTGGATAGTGAGTGTTTTGTTTCACGTATGTGTCCACCACAAAACCAGTACCTAGAGAAGCCAGAAGAGGGCATCCAATCCTCTAGGACCGGAGTCAAAGAGTTTTGAAGAGCATAGGGTTGCTAAGAATCGAACCCAGGAAGGTGTTCTAAAAGAACGCAGGTGCTCTTAACCACTGAGCTATCCTTGAGAGTCTTTCAATGCTGTTCAGCCTAGGTCCAAATCCCTGCTTGATGTGGGAGTGATTTCTTATTAATAAAGAAACTGCCTAGACCCATTTGATAGGCCAACCCTTAGGTAGATGGAGAAAACAGAACAGAATGCTGGGAGAAAGAAGCTGAATCAGGGAGTCGCCATGGTTCTCCCACTCCAGACAGACGCAGGTTAAGATCATTCCTGGTAAGCCAGCTCGTGGGCTACACAGATTAATAGAAATGGGTTAGATCAATATGTAAGAGCTAGCCAATAAGAAACGGAAACTAATGGGTCAAGCAGTGTTTAAAAGAATACAGTTTCCGTGTAATTATTTTGGGTAAAGCTAGCCCTGCGGGCGGCCGGGTGCCAGGGACGCAGCCCGCCGCTCCTAATTTCAACACCTGCTTGCCAGTGATTCCTTAAGGTCCTCTCCCAAGTAGCTGGGACACAGGCCTATGATACTATCCTCAGCAAGAAACAGCTTAATTTTTAAGTTTATTACAATTATTATTTATTATAGGGCAACATATGACAATCTGTTCTCACCTTCCATTCCAGGAATCCAGGGATCAAACTCAGGTTGCCAGATTTTATGGCCAAATGCCTTTCAGGCATCTTGCTACCACAAATTTTTTTTTAAAGAATTATTTATTTATTATGTATACAACATTCCTTCCATGTTTGCTTGCATGCCAGAAGAGGGCACCAGATCTCATTATAGATGGCTGTGAGCCACCATGTGGTTGCTGGGAATTGAACTCAGGACTTCTGGAAGAGCAGTCAGTGCTCTTAACCTCTGAGCCATCTCTCCAGCCCTTGCTACCACAAATTAAACATCTTTTCACTGGGTGGTGGCGGCAGACCCCTTTAATCCCAGCACTTGGGAGGCGGAGGCTGGCAGATCTCTGAGTTCGAGGACAGCCTGGTCTACAGAGTGTGTTCTAAGACACCCGAATCTTCATAGATCAACCCTGTCTCAAAAACACAAATCTAAAATAGAAATAATTTTTGGCATATATGAGAGCTTTGTTCGCATGTATGTGTGGGTACCACTCCTGGGCTTGATGCCCACAAAGGCCAGGAGAGGGTCTTGGATCCTCTGGAGTTATGGACAGTTGTAAGCCACTATGTGGGGCTGGGAATCGAACCTGCTCCTTTGCAAAAGCAGGAAGTGTTCTCAAATGCTGAGCCACCTCTCCAGCCCCTGCTCATCTTGAATCACAAGATCTGACTGTTCCTAAGAGACAGCCTGATTGTTTTGCTACTTTTTGTTTAATAACTTGTTTGGGGTAGGGGAAGCACAAGCCAATCACACGGTGGTCTGTCAGAGGACAACTACCGGGAGTTTGTTCTGGCTTCCTACCAAACTGAAGCCATCTTACTAGCTGTTTCAGTTGTTTTTGTTTTGTTTGTATGGAGACAGGGTCTAGCTATATATAGACCAGGCTGGCCTCAAATTCAGAGATCTACCTGGCTCTGCCTCCTGAGCACTGGGGTAACAGGCATGCGCCACTGTGCCTGGTGCTGGCCCTTGGTAATGTTTCCAGAAACTAACTCTCTCTCTCTCTCAAAGATTTGTTTGTTTATTCATCCATTTGAGTATCTGAGTGCTCTATCTGCATGTACGTCTTTATGCCAGAAGAGGGCAACTAATCCCACTACAGATGGTTGTGAGTCATCATGTGGCTGCTGGGAACTGAACTCAGGACCTCTGGAAGAGCAGCTCTCCAGCCTCTAGAAACGCTTTTTAAAACAAAGATTCTAACTTTTCCTTTTGGACGTGTTTTCCTTTTTCCTGCAAAGCTACTGAGATACTCATTCCCAATATCACCTTGCTTTTGCCACTGGCATGAACATCTTAGGAAACTATCTAGGCTTTTTTTTTTTTTTTTTTATTATGTATACAATATTCTGTCTGTGTGTATGTCTGCAGGCCAGAAGAGGGCACCAGACCTCATTCCAGATGGTTGTGAGCCACCATGTGGTTGCTGGGAATTGAACTCAGGACCTTTGGAAGAACAGGCAATGCTCTTAACCACTGAGCCATCTCTCCAGCCCCTATCTAGGCTTTTATACCAACCAGTTGAGATGTGGCATACCCAAAGAGCTCAAGACATTGACTGTACCCTCAATTACTACAGGAAGACTATGCAAAATATCTGTACATCTATGCACAAAGCACAAATGTAAAGATGATCATGCCCAATTTTAATAAACCTGATGAGAGGCTCTGATAGCAACCTGTTTGAGATTACCAAAGTAACTCCATTGTTTTGACTTTAAAAATTATACCTTTAATTATAGAATATTGTTAGGATAATACAGCCATAGACAAGACACTAGGATAATTGACCAATACCAAGGGGATCCGCTCTCCACAACCACAGAACATGGGCACAGAGTGTCTGGGTATGTGCAGGAACAGCCAGGGGCCTGCAAACAGCAGGCATGCAAACAGCATTGGTGAAGTGTGGCAGACGCATGACTTCCACAGAGTTCAGCACTGGGAGTGGGCAGCGGATGACTGCAGAAGGGAGGGCATTCAGCTGGCGCAGACAGGTATGGGGAGATGGGAAGGCAATCAGAGACCCTCCCTGAGCCTTTCATCTAGAAGGCAAAAGCAGCAAATGGCACACTAGCAAAACCTTTACATGAAGGCAGGAGGTGGCATTGCAGGGCTGGGGGGGATGGGAAAGGGGTAAAATGAAGTTGGATCGGAGGTGCTGTCTTCTACAAGCTACTCCCAAGCAGTCACTCAGTGACTCAAAGACACGACGGGAGAATGCTGAGATCCAACCAAGTCATTGGCTACATACAGATGCCATATCTGAGTTTAGTTACCAAGAAGACATAAGTCACCTAACAGTTAAAATGTGAATACCCACGGCAGGCTAGATGTCGTACAGAATAGAAACCGTACGCCCTGCCCCAAGTTCGTACTCAAATGGGAGGGGCCACTCGGAGTGGTTTTCATTCGGTTGCTTTTGAGGCTGTCACTAGTGAGTGTCATGGCATCACCCAGCTGCGCTCACAGTGACTCTGTAGTGAAAGCACTAAATGCCAAATCCCAAAGAACTTCAACAAAAAAGTTTTTTGTTTTTTGTTTTTCAAGACAAGGACTCTCCGTGTAGCCCTGGCTGTCCTGGAACTCGATCCTGTAAACCAGGCTGGCCTTGAACTCACAGAGATCTGCCAGCCTCTGCCTCCCAAGTGCTGGGATTAAAGGCATGTGCCACCCCCAATCCCCACCCCTGCAAAAAAAAAAAAAAAAAAAAAAGGTTTCTTGAAAAAAAACATGTTAACATTTGCAAGTTTGCACTAAGCACCATAAAAATGCACTGGGCCCCATCCCCTTCCATCCCCACGGGACAGAGTAAGCACCAATATCCGGGCTACTCATCATTCCTGCCTGGGCTGAGATAAAGAAAACTGAGGTACTGAGCGACACTGGGCGACTCTCACTGTAACTCTTTGTCCCTGGAGGCGGGAAACACACTCCTCTTTAGGCTTATTCATTTCTTCTGATGGGGCCAAAGAGGATTCATCACAGGAGAAGATAACTCAGTCTGAGAAAGGGCAGAGGACCTAACTGTCCAGTCATTGTCTCACAACTGATGGACACATACGAGCAAGAGTTTAGTTCTGTACAAAACCAAGCCTTACAGGAGAGTGCACGCTAGCGCACTAGTGTTCAAATTCTTTCCCATAACACAAGAAAAATAAAGGACATCTCTCGCATGGAGTATGCCTACAGTTCTATCTTATGGTCTACATCACGTAAGAACATGCTGATTCTTAGGAATTCGGTCTCTGCTATTCGAGTACACATTTCACTGTACATACACGTGCCTTTATGCAAGCTACGATAGAGACTGGGGCGTGGCCCTATCAAACCCTAGAGGTAGCAGTACAAGGGCGAGTGACCTAACTGTTAAAGTTAGATGGCAAAGGACACAGAAAGGCTCGGTGCTCCCTTCCCTGAAGGAGTCAACCCACTTCTACTCCTTCCATCATCACCTGCGGGCCTGTCCTTTCCTAAAGGCAGTTTCCACACTGCCATCTCTAAAGTGATAAACCTGATTAAAGACAGCATCAATGGGTATCTCTTGCTAAGGTCACCACCATCCAAGGGCCCTTGGTCCTCAACCTTGGACCCTTCTCCTTTCACACTGTATCCTCCGGTAGCTTTCAAAAGCATGCAAGCTATACACAAGTGAGAAACAAGGAGAAATGATTCAGTCACTGCCTTCAGCGTGCAGAATCCTGTGCACAAGATGGCAAGGTACCAATACGAGCTACTCAAGGAAAAAGCCCTTTGGAAGGGAAGTGCATGAGCCCGGCTACTGCGGTGTGTGAACAGTGGCTACTCAGGACAAGTCCGCTTGCCTTCTGCCAGAGCAGCTGCGGCCACCCTAGTCCAGTTCTACATTCCTGCTGCAGTCTTTTGGGGCCAAAGATACGAGAGGAAAAAAACAACTTTTTAAAAACCTACTCCATCTCCAGGCCTAAGCATCCACCAGCATCTTGTCCTCTGGTCTTCAGCTTTCAAGTTACTAGGGACGGGGGCTGCTTTTGATGAAGCGATTCATGTAATAAAATCGGTGAAGAAAACTATTTTGGAGAAGGGGAAAACGTCCCCAACGCTGTGGGTCGGAATTTCAAAGGGGTCGTATTCTTCCATGTTTGAAAATGTGGCCAACAATAAGGAAAGTCAGTCTTAAGGAACCTCACTGATATCAAATCAAATATAACTGTACCTCCACGAGTCATTTCTTACTCAGAAATACAGGACTTAGTCGGTATGGACTCTCTTGTGTTTAATAAGAGCTGAGCTCCGGCTGAAACTCTTGTCACACTCGGTACATTCGTAAGGCTTCTCTCCCGTGTGAACTCTTTGATGGGTGATGAGGTTGGAGCTTTGCGTAAACCCCTTTCCACACTGCACACACTCGTAGGGCTTTTCTCCCGTGTGAGTCCTCTGGTGCTTAATCAGATCTGACCTCTCCCCGAAGCTTCGCCAGCACTCGTTACACTCATAGGGCTTCTCCCCGGTGTGAATTTTCTGGTGTGTGATCAGATGGGAGCTGCGGCTGAAGCTTTTCCCACAGGCCGTGCACTCGTAGGGCTTCTCTCCCGTGTGCGTCCGCTGGTGCTGGACCAAGTGCGAGATGCGGCTGAAGTTCTCCCCGCACTCGTTGCAGTGGTACGGCTTTTCCCCGGTGTGGGCCCTGCGGTGCCGCACCAGGTCAGAGTTCTGACTGAAGTTCTTCCCGCACTCCTCACACTTGTAGGGCCTCTCGCCCGTGTGCACGCGGTAGTGCTTGATGAGGTCGGAGCGCTCGCTGAAGCCCCGTCCGCACTCGTTACACTCGTAAGGCTTCTCACCCGTGTGCGTCCTCTGGTGCTGAGCCAGGTGCGAGCTCCGGCTGAAGCTCTTCCCGCATTCCTCGCACTCGTAGGGCTTCTCCCCGCTGTGGGTCCGCTGGTGCTGGATGAGGTGGGAGAGCCGGCAGAAGCTCTTCCCACACTCGTTACACTTGTGGGGCTTCTCCCCGGTGTGGATTGTCTGGTGCTGAATGAGGTGAGAGCTCCTTCCAAAGCTCTTCCCGCACTCGTTGCAGTCGTAGGGCCGCTCGCCTGTGTGTGTTCTCTGATGCTGGATAAGGTGGGAGCTGCGGCTGAAGCCCTTGCCGCATTCGTAACACTTGTAGGGTCTGTCTCCCGTGTGCGTTTTTTGGTGTCGATTGAGGTCTGAAATCTGACTGAAGGCCTTCCCACACTGAGAACATATGTGATAGCGGATGCCTGTGTGGACTTCTTTGTGGGCCAGCAGGTCAGTGACCTGCTGGAGAGGGTAGCTGACCCACTCCTCTGCAGTCAGCTCTCCCCACTGTCTTTCGGACCTGTCCCCACTTTCAAAGGCCTCTTCGCTTTCCGGGTTCTTCTCAGCAACCCCAATAGGCTCTTCGGACATGGTCACAAACTCCACATCTTCACTAAGCTCTTCTTTCGGGTTTGTTTCATTCTCGCTCCTGATCTCAAAGTCTGTAAGGAGTAAATAATGCGGAGACGGTCAGTGTGTAAACATTCTTACTGTGTTCCTGGCACTAAACCAAGGGTTCTGTTTATTCCTCTATCCTCGGTGCTGCACAGTAAACCCAGGATTTTGGGTTCACCATTAGGTGCTCTACCCTCAGCTACACCATGCCCAGCTCCAGTACCAGGTCCTCTTTCTTTTCTTTTGTTTTTTCTTTTTTCGTCACAGGATTTCTCTGTAGCTTTGAAGTCTGTCCTGGAACTAGTTCTTACAGACCAGAATGGCCTTTAACTCACAGGCCTTTAACTCGCCTGCCTCTGCCTCCCGAGTGCTGGGATTAAAGGCTGCGCCACCACTGCCCAGCTTCAGTCTACTTCAGCATCAGGTGAGAAAGCAAAAGTGGGAAGTCCGTACATCATCCACAGGGGAGGGTGGACTGAGCTGAATGGCAACGGCAACACACCAAGTTCTTAACATGCATAACCGTGAATGCTCACATTTATCGCCAAAGTCCATCTCTGTGAAGGAGAGATCCATGGCTCAGAGCGGAGAAGTGGCTTTCCCCAGGAAATGGGAGACACAGTAGGGGCTGGAGAGGCGATACTGCTCTTACAGAGGACCTGGGTTTGGTTGCCAGTACCCACACTGGGCAGCTCCCAACCACGAATTCCAGCTCTAGGGATGCAATGCACTCTGGCTCCTGTGAGCACTATACTCATATACACAAACCCACACTCTCACATACATGTACTTAAAAAATAAAAACAAAATCTAAATGTCCAACTCAAGTCTGCTAAATTCAGGCTCTTCAGTTAATTGTTATTTAAGAAACTATCTAGGGCTGGAGAGATGGCTCAGAGGTTAAGAGCACTGACTGCTCTTCCAGAGGTCCTGAGTTCAATTCCCAGCAACCACATGGTGGCTCACAACCATCTGTAATGAGATCTGGTGCCCTCTTCTGGTCTGCAGCATATATGTAGGGAAAATGCTGTATACATAATTAATAAATAAATCTTTAAAAAAAAAAAAGAAACTATCTACACTCGGGAGGCAGAGGCAGGTGGATCTCTTTGAGTTCAAGGTCAGTCTGGTCTACAAGAGTTAGTTCCCTGATAGGCTCCAAAACTACAGAGAAACCCTGTCTTGAAAAACAAAAACAAACAAGCAAAAAAAAGAAACTATCTATTCCTTTTTTTTTTTTTGAAAAAGGTAAACAATCAGAATAAAAACAACAAGAAACTTAAATTAGGGTATCTAAAAGACCCTAGAAAAATTTTGGAGCATGTGTTATTTTGTTTAACTTGTCAAGCTTTCTTAATTATTATATTTACTCAGAAGCTACCAGATTTTTTTAAAAAAAATATTTATTATTCATACAGTGTTTTGTCTGCATGTACGCCTGCATGGCAGAAGAGAGCACCAGATCTCATTACAGATGGCTGTGAGCCACCATGTGGTTGCTGGGAATTGAAAACAGAGCTTCTGGAAGAGCAGCCAGTGCTCTTAACCTCTGAGCCATCTCTCTAGGCCCCTATGAAGTTATTTCTTAACTATCTCTATCAGGAACATTCGTTTGTGACAGGGTCTAACTCACTATGTCAGCTGACACCGAATATTTCTTCCTGTTGACTCTACCTACCCAGTGCAGTGAACACTGGTGCACACCACAGAAGCAGCTCCTGTATTTTTAAAAGATGTATTATGTATACAGTGTTCTGCCTGCATGTATCCCTGCAGGTCAGAAGAGGGCACCAGATCTCATTATAGATGGTTGTGAGCTGCCATGTGGTTGCTTTGGAAGGGCAGCAGCACTCTTAACCGCTGAGTCATTTCTCCAGCTCCATGTCTTCATCTCTTATTTGACAGAAAAAGAGATTTATAGATGTCACTTAAAGTCAGGGTATATAAAAGGCTGCACAGAGCAGCCCCTCTTTTGCAGAGGACTGTTGGGGAACAAATCTGACATTCTATGTATGCTAAGCATGTGCTATAGTACTCAACCACACATCAGAACCAACTCAAACTAGCTTTGGAACTACATATATTGCATATACTTCAATATTCCATATATTTCAAGTATGAAAATAAAAATATACAACCAGCTCATAAGGAACTTCTATCAGACACTATATTTTTCAAACTGGGTTTCTTAGTACACACCAGAAAACTGTAAGTAGTTATGTTCATTAAAAAGGACTATGGAAAAAAAATAAAAATAAAAAGAACCTATGAGGACTGGAGAGATGACTCAGAGGTTAAGATCACTGACTGCTCTTCCAAAGGTCCTGAGTTCAATTCCCAGCAACCACATGGTGGCTCACAACCATCTGTAGTGAGATCTGATGCCCTCTTTTGGCCTGCAGGTATACATGTAGGCAGAATAGTGTATACATAATAAGTAATAAAAAACCATTTAAACGGGCTGGAGAGATGGCTCAGAGGTTAAGAGCACTGGCTGCTCTTCCAGAAGTCCTGAGTTCAATTCCCAGCAACCACATGGTGGCTCACAACCATCTGTACTGAGATCTGGCGCCCTGTTCTTACATGCGGGCATACTCCAGGCAGAATGTTGTATAAATAAATAAATAAATAAATATTTAAAAACAAAAACAAAACCATTTAAACAAAAGGCCCTATGAATAAATAAATTTGGTAACTAGTTACAAAAACAAACAAAAATCCAAAACCCAAAGGGAGGCTGGAAAGATGACTCAGTGGATATTCATTTTACAAACATTAGAACTGGGTTGGGACATCACATATACACATAAAGGCTGGGCATAACATTAACCCTAACACTCGAGAGGATGGAGTCTAGTGCATCCTGGGGCATCCTGGGGCCTTGCTAGTCAGGCAGCTGCACCAAAGAGCTAGCTCAGGGTTCAATAAGAGGAGAGACTTTGTCTCAAAAAATAAGGTCGAAACAGACAGAGGAAAGTACTGGAAATGGGCCTCTGGCTTATATACATAGGAAAATGTCATCAGCACATACATGTGCACACACATGTATGTGTATTACCCCCCCCCACACACCCATGCACACACAAGAAGCAAGCAAACAAACAGAAAAGAAATCCAAGCCGGGCAGTCAGGAAGCAGAGGCACAGGGCGGGGGAGGGGGGGATCTCTGTGAGCTCAAGGCCAGCCTGGTCTACAAACCGAGTTCCAGAATAGCCAGGGATGTTACACAGAGAAACCCTGTCTCGAAAAAAAAAATAATAATAATGTTTAATGTTACATTAAAGGATCCAATGGGTTCTGAGATAAAAAATAAAAAAAAACCTACCTTGAAGGGCCTGAGAGCTGGCTCAGTGGTCCAGAGCACTTGTTGCTCTTGCAGAGGACCTGAGTTCAGTTCCCAGAACCCACATCAGACAATACACAACTGTCTATAACTCCTGTTCCAGGAGATCTGATGCCCTCTTCTGGCCTCCTTAGGCACCAAGGATGCACGTGGTGCACAGACAAACATTCAGACAGAACACCTATACACGTTAGAAGGAAAAACAAAACAACAAAGTGCCTTGGAAACATTTATTAACCCTCCCCTAAATTTATCTGTGTAAGCAACAAGGCTCCTGGTGATTCTAGCTAAGAATTGCTCCTGAGATAGTCTATAGAGATGCAAGAGCAAGTCTTTTTAAAGACACCTCTTTCTTTCTTTCTTTCTTTCTTTCTTTCCTGTTGTTGTGATATATTTAGGTTGTGTTTACAATAGATCTGGGTAAACAACATAGTTATGGCTGTTTAATTTTCACTTCACTTTTAATTATGTGTCTGTGTCCAGGTTGGAGTATGGGTACCTATGATTGCAGACGCCCTTCAGGGGCCAGAAGAGGGCATCTGGGCCCTAGGAGCTGGAATCACAGGTGGTTGTAAGATGCCTGATGTGGGTGCTGGGAGCTGAACTCGGGTCCTCTGCCATAGCAATACGTGCTCTTAACAGCTGAGCCATCTCTTCAACCTGTTTTTAGTAGTGGAGTTGTGGCTGCTTTTAAGGAACAATTCAAGGGACAAGGCTCAAGGGGGAAGTAGGGTAGGGGACAAATCAGAATAAAGTATACCAACACACATACATATAAAACATCACAATGAAACCCATTGTTTAGTATCACCTAACAATGAATTAAAAAAAAAAATAAAAAGAAGAATTGGTGTAGGAGGTCCTTTTGTCTAATAAAGAAACTGCCTTGGACTGTTGATAGGGCAGAACCTTTTTTTCTTGGATTTTCGAGACAGAGTTTCTCTGTAGCTTTTGGTTCCTGTCCTGGAACTAGCTCTTGTAGACTAGGCTGGCCTCGAACTCCCAGAGATCCGCCTGCCTCTGCCTCCCAAGTGCTGGGATTAAAGGTGTGCGCCACCACCACTCGGCTAGGGCAGAATTTAGGTAGGCGGGGAAGAAGGAACTGAATTCTGGGAGGGAGAAGCCATGGATCCCCAGCCTGAGACAGACATTGGTTAGAATCTTAGCCGGTAAGCCACTGCCATGTGCCGATATACAGATTACTAGAAATGGGTTAACTTAAGATGTAAGAGTTAGCCAATGAGATGCTAGAGCTAATGGACCAAACAGTGATTTAATAAATATAGTTTCTGTGTGATTATTTCAGTTCTGGGCAGCCAGGACAAACAAGCAGCCTTCCTGTTACAAAGAACGTTAGGGAAAGCCGGGTGGTGGTGGCGCACGCCTTTAATCCCAGCACTTGGGAGGCAGAGGCAGGCGGATCTCTGTGAGTTCGAGACCAGCCTGGTCTACAAGAGCTAGTCCCAGGACAGGCTCCAAAACCACAGAGAAACCCTGTCTCGAAAAAAAAAAAAACAAACAAACAAACAAAAAAAGAATGTTAGGGAATATTATTTTCAGGTATGTGACTTTTGTTTATGCTGCATCTGTTTATCTGTGAAACTGTTACTTAACACCTGATGATCCTAATAAAGAAATGAATGGCCAGGGCAGGAGCAGGGATAGACAGGGCAGAGAGTATAAATAGAAGGAGAAATCTAAAAGGAGGCCACTGGGGCCAGCCACTCAGCCAGTCATGGAGTAAGAAGGAAAGAAGGGTAAACAGAAATAGAAAAAGATAAAAGTCCAGAGGCAAAAAGTAGTCAGGATAATATAAGTTAAGAAGAGGCTGGAGAGATAGCTTAGAGGTCAAGAACAGTAAATGCTCTTCCAGAAGTCCTCAGTTCAATTCCCAGCAACCACATGATGGCTCACAACCCTCTATACTGAGATTTGGTGCCCTCTCCTGGCAGGCAAGCATACACGCAGGGAGAATGCTGTTAACATGACAGAGATAGATAGATAGATAGATAGATAGATAGATAAAAATATGTAAGTTAAGAAAATCTGGCAAGAAACAAGACAAACTAAAACTGGGTATTCATAAGTAATAATAAGTCTCTATGTGATTTATTTGGGAGCTGGGTGGTGGGCCCCTCAAAAAGCCGGAAGACTAAAAAATTCACACAATAGAAGAAGCCAAAGAAATTGGGATATTAGAGAAAGTCCAAGTCAAGAAAACCCCTCAGGTTACCTTTTGTTCTGAGGATAAAAACATTTTAAAATATCTTAGTCCTGTCTTTATGCACTGCTGAGAATCAAACCCAGGGTTTCAAGTATGCTAAGCACCCTCCCCACTGAGCGGCAGCCCCCAGCCTCATGAGTTCTTCTCTCAATGGCATTTGTGATCTAACCGTGCGAGGGTTCCTCTGAGACAACGCGGCACACTTGAAGGATGAGCACCTCTGAAGCTGCTCGAGAAGAGAACCTACCCAGATAAAGTACCTGAGGCAAAACTGCAGCCGTGGAGCCAAAACAAACACAAAAGGGGCGGCTTCTGCCCTTCTGTGAACCTGCTTAGGAGCCCTAGAGAAAAAGCACCATTTACAGGGCATTTACAGGGCCTTTATGTCCTGGCAGGCACCACAGCGCCAGACCTGTTTGGTCAGCGATCTGTACAAACAGGCTGCCGGATGGCGAATGACTCATGGAATGAGGATCCTCAAAGTCTCTAAAACTGCAGAAACCATTTTTTTTCCCCGACCATATAACATAGATCATCCCACATTTAAAGCTTTGCATCACTAATTGTCTGGTTTCCCTTAAAAGCAAACAAACAAGTCTGCACTGAAAGACCTAAGTCATTTTGACAGGTTCAAAACAGGAGACGAGAAAAGGTAGAAATGCCCACTCACCCAGTGAGACAACATTTCCGTAATTCTCCTGCATCACGTCCCTGTAAAGGTCTCTTTGTGTAGGATCCAGAGGTCTCCATTCTTCCCGAGTGAGGTACATGGCCATATCTTCAAATGTCACAGGGGCCTGAAATCACACAATGCTTCCTCACTACTTAGCATCTAGGAGTTTAGTCCCAGCCTTTCTTCTTGAAATTAGAGACATGGTTAGAAATGTCGAGAAGGCATTGGCATTAAGTCTGATCTGTAGAGTGCAAAGAAGAAATAAGAAAGAAAGAAAAAAGACATGTGGTCAAAAGGCAGGGCGATCTACTAGCTGCCTCCTCGGGCAATCTACTAGATATCCCTGCCCACTATGGGACACATCCTCTTCAGACCTAGAACTTACACGGCTCCAGACCTCTACCTGCAATGTTCTCCTTTTCTAAGACCAGTGACATTCTCTTCTTTATGGTCCAGTTCGAGCGCCAACTGTCGTTCTTCCTGCCCCCCTCCCCCCATTTGCTCTTCACTCCTTCCTCGGATACCGCATAGAGTTAATCACGCCACGATTTTGCTGTTCCCACACCACAACACTTTCTTGCTAAGGCAGAGGGTTTATCATATTGTATCAAGGTTAATCGGGTGCACCTCTCTCTCTACAGATAGTTTGCAAGGAGGTTATCACCCATCTTGTTCGGTTTTATTCTCCTCAGTAGTTAAAGGCATACAGTAGATGTTCGATATGCCTGTATGTGACTAAATTAGCCAGCACTAAGCCCCTGCAGCAAAATAGTGAAATGAGTTAACCCCAGGTAATTTCCTATAGGGTTTGCAGAAGGGGGAAACACCGGGCGAGATGGGAAAGCAGAGGCGAGGTCTGGGAAGCCACCCCCGGCTTACCTGGGACCCAGCCATGAGCAGGGTGGCTGCCATCTCAGGCTCAAACGTTCGTCTCCTGGGAGAGAGAGCAGGACAAGTAGCTAGTAGACAACGCTGAAGGAGATGAAAAGCAGGGAGCGAGGCGCGGCTAGAGGCCCTGCCCACTCCCTAGGGCTGGAGTTCTGATTGCCGGGTATGCAGGAACGGCCCAGGATCGGTCACTCTCCTCCTTCTCTGACCCCCGAGCGTGACCCGCTCTCCGCGTCTCGGTTAATACCAAGTACAGGCAAGGCTAGAGTAAGGGAGGACAGCCCCTGGCTAGTGCCCCCCGCCCCCGGACTGGGGGTCAGGCCGATGCTATTAGACGGAGGCTTTCAACCCAGCCCTACAGAACGCCTCTGCTCTTCCATCTCCGTTCAAGGGCCTTTCCGGCAGCAACCTCAACCAATCAGCAGAAAAACCTCATCAAACACGAGGCCAATCAGATGCCAAATCATCAGCCCTCCTCCTGCCGCGTGGCCGAGCATCTCCACCACGCGTGCGCGCGCCTCGCGGCCTGCCGGGACTTGGAGTTCCACTCTGGCGTACAAAGGCCACTTAGAGGCCAAGAGCTGGGGTGGAAAAAGAACAAAAGGGAGGAGACAGGGCAACGTCCTTCACTTTCTTCTCGGAGACCACAGCACGACTCAGTAAAGGAGGCTTCCCTGATTTTTTCTCATGGCCCTACGGCCGTCTTTGAGTCAGATATTATCCGCGAGTGTGGCGGCCTGGGCTGAACTCAGCTGGGATCAACCCTTATTTGACAGCCCAGTCCAGAGCGGGAAAAAGCTCCAGTTCCCTCCCTCGGCAGACTCCCAGGCCGCGGTGGAACTTTGGGCCCCGCCCACGTACTCGCAACACCTCCCAGTGCCGCCTGCAGCGCTTGCTCTCCGCGTCCAAGAACTACAACTCCCAAAAGAACTTGCGGTATTCGCAACCTGCCTGCAGACTACATATTCCAGTAGGCTTCGTGCTGCATGCCCTACGTGGGAGTGCAGTCTGCAGCCAGGATTCGGTATCCTGTTAACCCTGTAGGGAGCTTCTAGCGCTGTTTTATAGAGACCCGACCCAAGTGCACTTATTATCTAAAACGCCAGAACACTGAAATCAGAAGCGGGTAAGGAGCTAGGATGTGTAGGGAGATAGCTGGTCTCAGAATGGAGCCTCAAGGAACTTGCACGATTGACGGTTTCTCTGCTGAAACATTCTTGAAGACTTCCCAACACCATGGAGACCCAGGGCCTGTGATGATTGAACCTGAAAGGGTCCTAAGGATGTTAGCAGTCTCTGTTTCAAAGAAGCCACAAACCCGGGTTAGGGCAGAATGAACAGGCTTACCTCCTGGTCTGTGAAACACCGCGGATCGCTGGTTCCAAGATCCTCGAGAGGCCTGAGATCCCCAAGCCTCAGAGTTCTAAAGAGCCCTGACGTTCGAAAAGATTCTAGAGATCACCAGCAGATTCCGGAGATCTCAGAGCCATGGGTAAAAATCCGAATCCATAGATGAACAGGCAAAGGCCAGAGTTTGATGGTAGGATTGAGCCCAAAGCTTCAAGATTTGCAGAGACCTCAGACTGTTCTATTGCCCCGAGAAAACCACAAGCTCATAAACAGATCCCTGAGGCCACGACAGCTGACCAATAAACACCAACAGCAGCTAAGCTACATTCAGTAAGAGTCCTCCAAACAGTAGGACTTGGAACCTTCAGCCGGGATGCAGGAATTAGACAATGGAAGACGAGGGCTAGGCAAAGCAGGCATTCTGCGTGGGGAAGAGCTTCCAGCTTGCTGTAGCCTTGGAGAGGGAAGTGATGGAAAAAGAATATAGCAGCTTATTAGGGACTCCCACCCTCTTCAAGTTATAAATATCCCAAGAACCTTGGCTTGATGCCCAGAAGCCTGTTGTCTCTGACTGAACAGGAGACTTCTCTGCCTGGGCTGGGAAAAAGGGCTTTTCTTTTGTTTTGCAGATACATCCACGCACTGAAGAACTTAAAAAGAAAATTTTTTTTTCAAATATGATTCCCAGCCATGCTTTTATTAGTGTCCTGTTCCCAGTGCCCAGTTATTTATGGCTATATGACTCAAGGATCTACAAATGAGCTACAGGACCCCTACCAGCCACAATGCAGCTTTTCTACCTGTGCTGCCCTTTCACTCCCAAAGCTGGGACACAAAAATGTGTCAATGCCACACAAAATTATTCCTTCTACCTACTGTAAAATTGATCCAGCCACCATGTAAATTAGAATCTTGAAGAATTTACAAGAGCCAGAAGAGTGTGGCCGTAAAGGTCAGACAGAGCAAAATCAGGGCCTAGGCTGTGTTTCTTCAGGAAAAACTCTCCAGAACCATTTCCTTTTTTAAAATTTATTTTATTTTTAATGATTTGTATTGGTTGGGGGGGTGCGTTTATGCACATACGAGTACAGGTGCCTGAGGAAGCCAGAAGAGGGTCCAATCCCCTGCTGGATTTACAAGTGATTGTGAGCCACCCTATGGGAGAGAGCACTGGACAACAAATTTGGGGCCTCTCCAAGAGCAGTATACACTTGTTGCTGCTCTTGTTTTGAGACAGGGTTTCTCTGAGTAGTCATGGCTGTTCTGGATCTCATTTTGTGGACCAGGCGGGCCTCAAACTTTGGGATTAAAGGCCTGTGCCACCACTCCCCCTCTGAGCAGTATACACTTATAGCCACTGAGCTACCTCTCCAGCCCTGTCATCTCCCTTTTCTGTACAGTTGGAATTGTCGTAGCTAAGGAAGCTGAGAAGGGATTTAAAGCACACCTGCACAGAATGAACAATCAGACCACAGATGTTTGGATGGATCCTACCTTTGGTAGCAGGAAAAACATACAGAAAGGTCTGTGGGTATATTCGATGGCCTGAAGGTTTGGGAAATCATAGCAACTCTGGGGTGACCTTATCCTTACATTATTGTTTCTGCTGGAAATGCAGAAAGAACTGGAAGCTGGGCCAGTGGGTGGGTTCAAGTTCATGGTATATATATATGTATTCAAGCCTAGTATTTGGGATTGCCAGCAGCCCAGAAAGTTGAGCTCTCACTCAGAGAAAACTGAGTCAGGGGTCAATAACCAAACTCCTAGAAACACAGAGGAGGCCTGTACTGCTCATCAGCAGGTCTCTAGGGTGAGAAGAGGGCCCGGTCCCACGCAGAAGGAGCTCCCCTTTCAGGGCTCTTCTAGCAGAGCCTTTGTAAACTCTGAGGCCTTTTGTCCCCTTGCTGTCAAGCTTTAAATCCTCGACTGTCCCTCTTGCTATTCTTTTGATTCCCAAGGACTGCGCCTGGGGGCAGGATGGTTCTGTGCGTCCAGCTTGTCAGCCTCAGGAGTAATTTTTCTTTATCCACCTGGGAGTAGAGAGGAGGCATAAACAGCGTGGGAAGCACCTGGGGGAGCGGGGCAGGAAGGACAGTGGCTGAAGGTCTTCCTGTGGCAGCTTGCTGCTTAACTCCGAGGGTTGGGGCGTGGAGGGGGTTGGGGGGCTGTCCCCGGAGGAGGAGGTAGCTTCCTGCCCTATTGTTCAGTGTTATTCAGAAATACTGTTTTGGGTTTTCTCGAGTGAATTGGAAAGTCCTATCTGTCCCCATCATTCAGCAAATGATGAGCACCTTCCGTGTGGAGGCTTCAGCACGGCTTGGCCCTGGGAAACGAGGGCCTTCCTCGCACATGTTTAAAATATAAGCATTTGCTACTGGATTTGTGTTCCTGGGGGGCTCTGGGAATGGTTATTTTTAATAAACATTTTTTTCTAAAGATTCATTTTATTAACTCCCCACGCCGTGTGTGTGTGTGTGTGTGTGTGTGTGTGTGTGTGTGTGCTTGCGCGCGCATGCATGCCTGTGCCGATGCCCTGAGAACTCTTGAAAAGCCAGGAGTCGGTTCCCCTGGAGCTAGAATTACAGGCCATTGTGAGCCATCTAATGTGGGTACCTGAAACCAAACTCCAGTTCCCTAAAAGAACAAGCACTTTTAATCTCTGAACCAGCTCTCCAGCCCCATATTTTAATCAATCTTATGGTTATCTATGAGCAGCCCAACTGTAGTTTTTCTTTGCTATCAGAGGCATTAATCTGTTCAACAGTTTAAATTATGGCTCTGTGTTTGTAATTCTCTCAAGGAAATGACTTGGGTCTCCCTTGACCTTACAGCGGCACCCAGACATGCATCCCGTCATGCCCCCATCTGCCACCCCCTTTTCCCTGGGGATGAAGGAGGCTTTGCAGTGGAGGTGACATTCAAGCAGTCTGCAGACCGTGGGCATGCCAGAGAGGAAGACTGTAGGAGGGAGAGCTTCAGTCTTGAACAGCTTGTGCAAAGGCACAGAGGCGGGAAAGGACAGCTCTGCTCCAGCCTGACTTGGGTTCCTTGGGACTGGAGGGAGGAGCGGCAGGGCGAAGAAGCAGGATGAGGACAGTGTCTCATGTTCCCTTGCATGCCTGTCTCCGCCTTTGGCTGCAGATCAGTGAAGCTGGTAGTCAGTCCAGCACTAAGGCCCTGGGGGCTGGGCTAGGTGAGGAGAGCAGATGGGCCCTGCAGGAGGAGGGCAGGGCACAGAGGACTGGGGCGCTTGGTCTCCTAATGCTTCTGCTGGTTTTCCCCAAAGAGAGGATTCTCCCAAAGATGTAGAGCGTAGCTTTGAAAATGCATAACAAACTGATTTGGTACTGCCTAGACTGTTTAAAGCCATCAACTGGAGCCAGGTTTTTATCCCCTTTCTGTGCTAGATCCTAAACTAGGAATTGGACACCGCCCCCTACATGGCTGCAGGGCTGCTGGGAGGATTAAGTGTGAGAGTGACACAGGAGGACCTTAGCACATGGTGGCCATTGTCCAAGACAGGAGGGGGTTAAATGTATCACAGATGCTCTGTGTGGTGAAGCTATATGAAGTGACTCAGAAGGTAACTGGGCATCTGAGTCCAAATCCAAGTTCTGTCTCCCAAGAACAAATTACTCCCTGAACTTTGGGCTCCTCAGCTTATAGAGTCTAATAATACAAAGAGCTCTAGTGGTTGCCAGGATGGGGGAAGGTGTGGGCTTGCAGGAGGGAAAGGCCTCACATGTGTTAGACTCCCAGAGTCTACCACTGAGCCAGTCAGCCTTTAAGAGATGAAAAACTAAGCCAGGCGGTGGTGCCGCACTCCTTTAATCCCAGCACTTGGGAGGCAGAAACAGGTGGATCTCTGTGGGTTCGAGGTCAGCCTGGTCTACAAGAGCTAGTTCCAGTACAGGCTCTAAAGCTATAGAAAACCCTGTCTCGAAAAACCAAAAAGAAAAAAGAAAAAGTAAAGGGTGGAGGGGCTGGACTGGAGTTCAGTGGTAAAGCGCTTGCCTGGCATGCTTAAAGTTCTAGGCTCCATCGCCATTAGCTCCACAACAAAACAATACCCATTTCTGGGGCCAGAGGGTTCTTTGAGAAAGCCAGTGTCAGGTGCTCTTAGCGAAAGGAGTAGCTGAAAGAAGCGTGTATGAAGCAGGATTCTAAACATTCTGCACATGCTGTTAACTTTGTGCTGAGAGTCAGTATTACCACCGTTTTGCAAGTGGAAAACTGGAAGCGTGGAGAGCTACATAGTGTGCCCCAGACACCCACTTGGGAAATGCCCGGTGACTGGCAGATGCTAGGGCACTGTGAGACAAAGAAGCATTTTAAAATCATGGGCTGCAACAAGAGACTGAGCTAGAATCATGGTACTGAGAGGTACGGGAGCTCTGAGGCCTGGGGGTGGGAACTGTGATGGAATGTGTCTGTCAGAGGCCAGCTTGAGGAATGGGTGCAATTTGCACGGGCCTGGGGTCGGGGAAGTCGAACAGCTAGCCATAGGTGGGAAGGGCCGGTAACGAATAAGGCAAAAAGCCCACTTAGGCTGGAGCAACAAGAGAGCACAGCAGAGTGGAAGATGAGCCATTTAAGATGGGGGAAGGGAGGTGGCAGGATGGCAGGATGGCTCAGTGGTTAAGAGCACTGGCTGCTCTTCCAGAGGACCAGGGTTCAACTACCAGCCTGTGACTCCAGTTCCAGGGGATCTGGCACTCATACAGGCATACATGTAGGCAAAACAAGTAAAGGGGGGGGGGGAGGAAGCATTTTCCAAACCATTCAAAAAACAAAAAAACAAAAAATCCAGGCAGACAGCAGATGGAGGGATGCTTTGCAGGGTGGATAAAACATTTGAACTTTATTTGTGGGCTGATGGAAATGTGCTGAGGATAACTGGGCAGGCACTCAGGGTGAGTTGACAAAGGTGGAATAGGGAGGCCACTGCACTGGGAGAGAATCTTTTTTTTTTTTTTTTTTTTGATTTTTCGAGACAGGGTTTCTTCTGGGAGAGAATCTTGAGAAGCCATGTTGATGGTGGCAGTAATGGAGAGAAGGCTTCACAATGGAGGGACTTTGCTACATCTGAGAGGCCCTGGGTGACATAGTCTTGAGTTAAAGAGAAGGGAGGACTCAGCGAGATGATTAAGACGGGGGGGGGGGGGGGGGGGCGGGGGGAGGGATATGAGAGGAAACGACACTAAAGAGATGGCTCAGCGGTTAAGAGCACTGACTGCTCTTCCAGAGGACCCGGGTTCAATTCCCAGCACCCACATGGCAGCTCACAACTGTCTGAAAATGCAGTTCCATGAGATCTGACACCTTCACACCAATGCACATAAAGTTAAATAAATCATTTAAAAAAAAAAACCCTAAAGAGGTCCAGGGTTCAATTCCCAGCACTCACATTGTGGCTCACAAGCTTCTGGAATTCCAGTTCCAG